CAGTAGACAAATTTAGTATCTCACCTATATATCTATACGTATGATTCCATTGTCTAACTTCCTATCTTGCCTATTAATTTGGTTTCATGAAAATATATTCCATGAATGCATAGTCAAGTTCGCCATCTGTGGACTGCATGATGCCACCTGTGGCATCTCTTAATTTGTTTGTATATTGTGTCCCCTAAGTACAAATAACTAGCATCTATTATTATATCGACCATATAAGGTGCAGCCTCTATTTGATAGTGCTTACCTTGTGTTGTGTTGCTGTTATTATAGTATACTTTATTTTTGTATAGTCTTGTACACTTCGATCCTTTCATGCAAATGCTTATAAGTTTTAAAAGGTTGCTCCTCACTCCTCATGTGGTAGGCTGGTGACAAGCTCGAAAAGTCGGCCGAAAATACTTTCAAACTATTGCTAATACGCAAATCTTTGATTATCTGTCTGCTATTTCGTTTTTTGTCGTGTAACAATCAAAGTAGCAGCAAAATGTTTGCAAAAGTGTTCGAGTATGACTTGTACTGTTGCTGCTAGAGTTGTTATTGTACTTCTTCTAGCTCCACTGATGAATATTAATAATAAAGTAATAATAAAGTTCATTCGTTAAGCAGAGTAGTCCTTTTGTTGATTTCTGAGATTTAGAGCATTAGGGCAGATTGCGCTCTATATTTTTTGTGGGAAGAATCTTCGTAACTTATTTCAAAGGAGTGTTTAGCAGATAAGGAAGGCAGGTTTAAGCGTTTTATGCCGCATCTAGTAGTATGGCTCATATTTCGAAAAGCCACGGCTAAGTGTCCATTCCTTATAAGGTACTGAAGGATAAAAGTTGGTAGCAAAATCATTTATTTTTTTGACAAATAATTCATCATGAGGTCATAGCCAAATATCCTGTAAATATAGGTAATGCATCGGCTTTATCTCAGTACTCTGCTTTTTCGAATTACACGCAACAATTCCAGACGGCCGCATGACTTCTAGAAAATTTTGTAGGCTGATTAGGTAGTAAAGAGCCTACCTTGGTTCAAGATGTAGATAATGTCAAGTCGCTAGAATAAACGTTGAGGAATTTATTTACAGTTACATTAAAGCAACAGTAAATGAAATGCTGAGATAAAAAAATTTTTCCAAAAAAACAATAAATTAGTGAGCAGAAAGAAATAAGTTACAGAATAGCTCGGAGCGAGCGGCACAGAGGTCAATAGATTAAAACATTATGGCTACAAGACGTCATTTTTTTACATATATAACAGATTACAAATATAATTCTTTTCTCAACCAAGCATATAGAAAGAAAGGCGAAGGTTGAAAGGTAAATGAGCTGTAGAGCTATTAATAGAAATTAAAAAAAGCATTTTTGTAGAATGACTGGAAATGAAAGCTTTATTTAACTTGGAAATAAAGCTGTCACTTCTAAGCTTTAGAATTTTAATATTTATGTCATGTGCCGAAATACGAATATTAGTTAAAACATTGTGAGCCAATGAATGGAAAATCATCACAGTATTACTTTTAGAAAGCCTAGCAAATGTCTTACAAGTATTTCTAACAGCACTACAGGCAGAAAAAGCAATGAAGAGAAGAACAGATGAAGGTTGTGATTAGAACAAAGTAAAATTCAATGGCAGATAAGACTAAATTAGCGGAGAGCCTTAAATTATTACCTAGAAAC